GAGCGACTTGCACGCCACAAGTATTTCACTGCCTTTATGTTTGAGGATTTCAACTTTTATTTGATATTTGAATTTTAACTATAACAAAGAAATATCAAGGTCCTGAATACAATTTCTTTGCTGGCCTCCCAAAAAATTTCAAATTAAGGAAGCTTATGTGTACATAAAGAACCCATTTTGATGTTGATATATGCATTTCATATCACCAGTTCGAGTATGTCCTATTGTGATTGCCAAATTTTAACCCCATTTTACACAATTTTAACCGAAAGTACAAAAATTTGAATACTTAGAGATCTACACATGGACCTCGATGGAGATTCTTCCTTGTTTGGGTTCAGTGGTTGTGTTTGTGTTTAGTGGTTGAGTTTGATGGTGTTGAGTGAGTTGGGTACACTTACAAAGTTTCTAGGTAATTCAGATTGGTTTGGTAATGGGGGTAATTTGGGAATGCTTTGGGTGTACTCATGAGTTCTTATACTTTTTATTTTATTTTAAAAGAGATGGATCAAGATATTAAAATGGGTGAACTTATTTGAAAAATTAAAAGTTAGGTGCCAAACAGAGGCATTACTTGAATGCCATATGCCAATTATGAATTTCTTTCTTCAGTAGACATTTTCGGATGGTTATTCAGGACTAGCTTGTTGACCATTGACTTAGTTGATTTATGACCCAAATTTATAGCTTGTATTGTTATTAAATAGACGTAATTACCTAAAAACAATAATTTTGATATTTTCAACTAATTATCATCCTATCTGTTGCACTTGCAACCCATTGTGCCAAGTTCATCTGTTTAATTTATGATATCTGCTGTTAATTTAAGTTGGTCATAGTGATACCTTCTCATCTACTAATTTCGTTTCATCAAGTAGACAGTAGTTTAGTTGGTTTGGGGCTTCCTGCACTTTTACTACCTCGTTACTTATTTCTGCTTCTTTATTCAGAGTAAAGTTAGTGAGATTGGGGCATCCTGCACGTTTACTACCTCAAGTTCTGGACAGTGCACTAGATGCACAGGTATACGAATTCTTCAAATTCGTAAAACAAAAAGAGAATTAATTCTTCTCTTTTTAATGGAAGATTTGACTTCTTATATAATTTTCTTCTCCGATTCTTCGTTTGAGCAAGCCATGGATACTTGTCTTTCTTTGGATCTCCTCTTAATACGTATAAATGTGTACACACACAAAATGATATAAAATATACCTCTACTGCCATCCTCGGTTGCAGATACTTTCTTTTCTGCTTCTATTATTACTGATAGTGTTAGCATGGATGTGTATTTCTAAGTAGATGCATTAATTTTGGGGTGCGATATCCACACACCCCTTTTTACTTTGACACACCTTTTTAATTTTTGGCTGCCGGATCGGACAAATTTAAGAAGATCAAAGGACAGAAATTAACAAGGGGTGTGTGAGAATGAGAAGTAAAAAAGAGTGTGTGGATAGCACACCCCTTAACTTTTTTATATTATGGTGCATATAGGGCAACAATGTGGTTTTATGATCCAAACCGTCTAATTATTAATCACTCCTTACACGATCATCCTTGAAAAATGAACCAAATCAGAAATCATTAATCCTCTAAATTTTCTCTAAACTTCATCACATAAAAAGAAAGATAAACACAGTGTTATAACAAACATTAGAACTTGTCATGATAATATATAAAAAAGAACACTCTCCTTATCATATAATTACTTGCCTATATTTGTTTGAACTGTTGTCCTTACCATATATTATTCTTTTCAGGTCTTGCGAGGGGATAACAGTTCTCTGGCAAATGACATTCGGAAGGAAATGAAGGTAGTTATGTAGAGTAAAATTGAAGCCTGAACTTGATTGAAATCTATGTCTATATGCAAATTCAAATAAAAGTTGCAATTCATTTTTTGTTGACAAAGATACTTTACCAAACTAACTTGTTAGTATTCATATATTTAGTAGTACTATTTCGTTTGGTTACATTGGAAGGGATCAAAACTCTGATCTATCCCATTCACAGCTATTCGCGACCCCTCCCTTGACCCTTGGATTTATTTAGTAGGACTTAATTATGGAGGTTAATTTGCTGAAGACTGAACTCTCACTGACCATTGCATGGCTTAACCATAGGAACTTGCACTTTGAACTTTTCCAGGCATTAAATGGGAAGCTGTTAAGGACCAAAGATAAGAACACTAGGAGGGAAATCCAGAAGGAGCTTAGAACTCTTTCTAGGGAAGAGCGTAAAAGGCAGCAGCTGGCTGTAACAGATGTAATAAAAAATGCAGATGTAATTTTGACAACTTTGACTGGGGCATCTTCTCGCAAGCTCGACAATACTTCATTTGATTTGGTAATCATTGATGAAGCTGCTCAGGCACTTGAGATAGCATGCTGGATGGCTCTACTAAAGGTAATGCTCTAATACAAAGGTATGTACATAAACATGTGCACAAAAATTTGCATATGTATTTCCATAAAATGCCCGTTCATGCCATATGCCTGCTGGTTAGTGATCTTCAAAGAAATGTTTTGGGTTTTCTTTTAGAAAGTTGGTCACTTGAGGACTCTAAAATTCAAGACAAGAATAAGTGAAATATTGAAACTACAGCAGCGCTTTATGGAAAAGGACGCTGTTTATTGTATGATTGAAAGAAAAGAGAAGGTCTTTAATAATTTTAAATTAATGAAAACCCAAAACCAGAAAGTTTTATTGTTAGGAATTTTTGTTATACATGTACAGCTGGTCCCAAAATTCACTTTAAAGTATCTGAGTTCATTGTTTTAGGGTTCAAGATGTATACTTGCAGGCGACCATCTTCAGCTTCCTCCTACCATTCAGAGTGCTGAAGCTGAGAAGAAAGGTCTAGGAAGGACCCTCTTTGAACGCCTTGCAGACATATATGGAAATGAAGTCATGTCTATGCTCACTGTCCAGTACCGCATGCACAAGCGGATCATGGATTGGTCATCAAAGGAGCTTTACAACAGTAAGGTGCTCAGAGCATGCCTGGATGTTGGCTTACCGAGTAGAGCTATATCATCAATTGACTCTGTTAGAAGTTCTATTATGTTAAAAGGAAAATTAAATGAAAGTCATTATATTTGATTGTGTTAATTATTTTGTGGTTTAATCTCTTACAGATTAAGGCTCATTCAAGTGTTGCTGGGCATATGCTTTTGGATCTGGAGGATGTAAAGACGACCTCTTCTACAGAACCGACCCTTCTTCTAATAGATACAGCTGGGTATGCTGTGTATTCTTGCCATATACCCAACATTCAGCGTGTTTGTGTTGAGATTACTTTGTTTCTCTCTTGGAGGAGGTTTAGAATCATATGAAGTAAATCACCACAATATCCTCTTGGAATTTGGTTTAGAATGCCACTGTAGACTTGAGTGAAATATTAAACAATAGGAATACCAGCAGGCTGGTATTAGAAAACTGTCAAGTAACACCTAGGGGTGCCACTTCATGTTTTTGGTGTTTTGTTCCAAATATGGAAATGACACTACGCACACACAACCAAAGACACAAACACGACAGACAAGACATCGTGTTATTTAGGCCTGAGGTAAACGTAGCCTATATGTGAAATGCATGACACGATTATGTTGAGATGGTTATTTCATGCCAATTTCTTGTGAAAATGCTTGATACAAACACTTAATGGAACAAAGACAGTCGCTTATTCGAAACTAATGCCAATTCTACATGCATGGTAACGCCACACAAAGTGCTGTTAGCTATCTTAACTTAGTTAGGATTCGCTGCTAATAGAGACATTTTGAAGGTCGTGAGAAGTGAGTAGATATTATACCACATTTTCTTTACAGCCTTCCTAGTTCGTAAAAAGCCTTTTTGTATAACTGTTGTAACCTGTTCATGCTTATCGGTGTCAGGTGTGACATGGAAGAAAAGAAGGATGAAGAAGAAAGCACTTTGAATGAGGGTGAAGCCGATGTTGCTATTGCCCATGCCAAGAGACTTGTTCAAAGCGGTGTTCAGGCTTCTGATATTGGAATTATCACTCCTTATGCTGCACAGGTACTAAAGTGTCTTCTTTTTCCTATGTTCTTGTAAGCAATAGCTTCTTTCTGTGAGCTTTATTTCTCTAAATAAGGTGAAGGATTACAATAGCTTCATGAAAAGTGAAAATGAAGCATTCCAAGAAAATAGGAGGTAGCAATGGCGTCGATTTTTGTTTGTTCTCCTACTTATATCAGACCTAGTATTGCAGGTTGTCTTACTCAGGATGTTGAGAAGCAATGACGACAAGCTAAAGGATTTGGAAATCTCAACAGTTGACGGCTTCCAGGGTCGGGAAAAGGAAGCCATTATTATTTCAATGGTTCGGTCAAATTCAAAAAAAGAGGTATCCTGGTATCCCTCGTTCTATTGCTAATGCAATTTTTCATAATTTGACAGTAGACATCTCAGATTCTCAAATACCAAAATATTCTGTAAGATATTAAATGTTCAACTTTTTCAAAATAATTCAGGTGGGGTTTCTGAAGGACCACAGGCGAATGAATGTGGCTGTAACACGGGCAAGAAGGCAATGCTGTCTTGTATGTGACACAGAGACGGTGAGTAGTGATGCATTCTTGAAGCGTTTGATAGAGTATTTTGAGGAGCATGGCGAGTATCTAAGTGCCTCAGAGTATAGCAATGAATGACCAAAATTGTCTGCCTCCACAGGCATTTACAAACTGGCTGTGTTTGGTGATCGATACCATACCTCACGGATATAGTTCCTCTAAGATCTTCCACTGCTTTTGAGACAGTGGAAACCTTACACCTACTAAACACAATTTATAATTCTTAATGGTATTAATACCGATTGAAAATTTGTTTAATGCATTTTTTTCTTCTCTAATTATCTAATGTTATGTTATGCGATATGTCGGAAATTTGTGTGATGAACTCTGTAAGCGTAACGATACTTTGATTCAGTCTTTGTAACTACTAGGGCAAGATTGAACTAATTTTTTCGATCCTCGACATCCATAACTGCTAAAAGTAGAGTGAAACTGATTTCAACCAGCTCATTCATGAACAGAAATGTCACTGAAGAGTTATGGATGGAGATGATTAGCAAATTGACAGTCTAACGATATAACATACTGATTATATGGCAAGAAAACATTACTCACTGAACTATAGCCTATGTTTAAGCGACGACAAATCACCGATCTCTTACAAACTCCTCCGGTGAAAGCACGTCGTACTCTTCCATCTTGTTAAACAAGCTTATTCTTAATTTTCTCTTAGAAGTTCCAAATGGAAGTGGGGAAGGAAGGCTCTTCATTCATATCGTAAACTTGAAAGGTACCAGCATCTGCTCCTTGGTTTGAAATCCCGTGCATCTCAATCAATGCATCCCAATTGATATTCTTGTCAGCAAAGGGTCCGAATTCATCATGAACTTCTCCGATCGAAAATTCCGGAGCTGTAAAACTTTCTGTTGTCTCAGTTGCCTCTGATTGTGTCTCCTTGTTCAGTACTCCCAGTTGCTGAAGAAACTCATTGAGATCCATCTGTGGCTTCTCCTGGTAGTCTTCCGCCTCTTTTTCAGATGAAATTTCGACATCCTTCTCCTTCTCTGCAACATTTCGCATCTCGGTTTTGTCACTCAGGATGTGAGCCTCAGATTTTGAATCACAGGAGGAAGAACTAGAGGAAGGGGTGGTGTGACCAAGAACCCCATTTTGCTTAAGTTCTTGGAGCCTCTGATGAATGACATGAACGCTCGGCTGCGCATTGATGTTGAGCAAACCGCACGAAGGAAACATGGAAATGAAGTTGTGGGAAGGGAACCACTTGAATTTTTGAGATTTGAGTGAAGGATTGGAGCTGGGTTGAAGGTGAGGAAGGTTGAGAAAAGCTTCGGGGCCGTAGAGTCTCCTGGCAGCATCGTCATAGGCCATGGCAGCTTCCTCAGCCGTAGCAAAAGAGCCCAGCCACAGCCTGGTTCTCTTCTTAGGCTCTCTGATTTCAGCCACCCATTTGCCCCAAGTTCTTTGCCGAACGCCGCGGTATTCGCAGGAGGCGTTCTGAGGGCCGCCTTTGCCTCTCGTCGGGCCTTTCTTCCAAGGCTTCAACGGAGATTTTCTGCTGTTATCCATGGTGGTTTTGGGGGAAGGTTGGAAGAAGCTCAGTGAGAGTGAGAGAGTGAGAGGGTGAGAGGGAGTGTGAGTGTGTTGTATAGAATGGTGGGAAAGGCGCGGGATATGTAGTGAATGAGAGTGCAGTTTGGTTTAAATGTTGTCACGTTTGCCCAAAGTTTTCAAGCTCATGCATGTGACCGTTGTTCTTCTCTTACACTAGTGAGTGTGATTTTAAATTTCTATTTTTTAATTTTCTTTTTCTCTAGTCCTTTTTGTTTGACCTTTGGCTAACAATTCAATTAATATAAAATGGCATCATGTGATGGATGGGTTGGGTAGATGTTCTCTCGAGACCGACCTTGAGATTTTGAGGTCTCTAGACCAGTCAGTGAAAGGAGACCATTGAGTTATCAAACTTTCAAATACATTGAGCATGTCACATCCCGGCCTGGTTCCACCACATCCTGGGACTGTTCCACCACCGTAGCACGATATTGTTCGCTTTGGGCTTACCATTCTCTCACGGTTTTGTTTTTGGGAACTCACAAGCAACTTCCCAGTGAGTCACCCATCATGAGAGTGACCTGGCCTCCTTCTCGCTTAACTTCGGAGTTTCTACGAAACCCGAAGCCAGTGAGCTCCCAAAAAGCCTCGTGCTAGGTAGGGATGTGAATATACATTTAAGGATCACTTCCCTGGGCGATGTGGGATGTTACAGAGCATATATATATATATATATGTATATATGTATATATGTATATGTATATACATATTTTTAATAGTGAATGGCAATAATGTATTATTATTATTATTATTATATCAAATAAATGCATCAATACATAAAACTTTTTTTTGTTTTGTTTTTGGTAACAAAGGGTTTTGGGGGAGATTGACTATTCTTACATTTGTTTTTATAATTGTATCAGAACATAACTTAAAGTTTACTCATCTTACATTTTAGTGGAAAAAGTTCTAACTAATTTCACACAACAATTCTCTTGTTGAACATGACAAAATAAGATGTTTATATTATCAGACTGTAAATGTGAATTATAATTTTTTAATTTTATTTTGCAAAACAATATTTTAAACTGATACTATGATCTACGAGCCTACATCTAGGAATTATTCATCAAGTTGAGATCCAAATTCATAGTTGGATACCATAAATTTTGTAGGAGATACTTGAGGTATAGTGGAAGGATGGATCATGATTAGGGGTGACAAATCACTCATTGAGTTGTTAATATATCATTGAAATGACAAATCAAACTAAATCGGTAACTATTTAGGTGGCAAATCAAATTAAGTGAATCTTAATACTTACCCATTATCGCTTAAAAAAGCATTTTTGTGCCTTAATAGAATTTTCTAATTTTATGACCCAAGAACCATGGGACCCTTAAAACAATATAATTATCAAATATTTCTCAAATATTTTTATTCAATAGTTGAATATCCCCAAATTGTATGTCTACCTTCTAGCCCCTAGTCCACGTTATACTATTCTAACTTATAGCCTTGCGTATCATAGAACAAATAAAAAAATTGTGACTAATTTTGAGGTAGAGGATAAATCTCTCAATAAGAAAAGTTATTTAGATACAGGAGACCGATTTTCTTATGAGAGTCTCTAACCGACACGAGATTGGACTGGATTTAGGCCCAACCACAAAACAAGGCAACTACCATATTGTCAAATGATCACACAATAAGAGTTTGATACCGAATACAATCAAGATCAAGTTTTAAAACAATATAAAATGTCAGCAATACTGAGGTCTAGTATTATTTCTTTTTGGTTATATGTGAGAAGTCCCAAATTCAACTTGATTTGATACCTAATAAAGTTGGCAATATGCTTTTAATGTTGCCTAAGATTGAAAGTAGAATGATTTTAATGTTGTGGTGGTGATCGGAATTATAGGTAAAGCTAAAATGCTTTGACTTTTATAACATATAACGTGATGGAAGGAAGTGAATTCTTTGAATGTAGTAATTAATAGTATTGACAGTCTCCTCCCTTGGATTCTGTTTCTGTGGGAAATTAGGAAGAGGAGGAAGAGGAGGAGGAGTTTGCTCCTTTTGTCCTACTGGTTTAAATTCAGAGAGACAATATCCACCTCACAACATTTTCCATTTTCACGAGCTCTATTTCACATGTTTTCCTGCCATTCACAACCTGATATCCGGGACTCTACTCACCTTTATCCCATGCTGCTTCTCCCCCTCTCTCTCTCTCTCTCTCTCTCTCTAGAAGAAGAGGGAGAAGCATGAAGTTTGATGTTATGGTGGTACATGATGATCCTGAGAACCATATTGTACATTGAGGAATGTACGACCTTCTCATTTGAACTTTCTCAACTCTCGTTCACATCCTAAAATGTTGCACGGTGATCTAAAGCGTGTAATTTGTAGGCCACACATTAAGGACATTGTCGAATTGACTAAATCTAAAATCATTTAGTCATCAAACAGTTATCTAATAAATAGACAAGCCACGTTATTAAGTTAAACATTGAAATTTTGACAACACTAATCCTACCATTAAACGGTTTTGATGATCGTGCAACATTGCATGTTGAGAAGAACAACCCCCGAGAAGATAGAACGAGAAGATTTGACTGGAAAGTTCAGTAGCATTCACCTTGGACGTTTTCCTTCTCTTCAATATTCAAAAGAAAAAAAAAGAGAAAAAAAAATGTTGCCAAATGGATTCTTAAGCTTCTTTTTTTTCAAAATAAGTATGGCAACAAGACAGTGTTGTGACCTGTTGATAATATTTACATGCAGTTCTATTAACAGATTGACAACATCCCCAAAATAGCATATCAGCACAGCATGGCAATGACTAACTCCTACTTCCTCAACGCTGCCCATATTCCCCTTTGGCATAACAAAGATAATCTCCGTCGCCCGTCCAACTTGGAGGAACCACAAAATACCAAAACACAAAGCTACCTGCCACAAAACTGCCCAAGACAAGTATCAAGTTGAACTCACAAGGAACAATAGAAAATGTAACTAAAAGACCTGGAAACAGAACTAAAATAAGCTATCAGATGTTCCTGTCAATGAACGGAGGATTCTCAGTTCTTCAACAAATTTAATTCCATAGTTGAGTTCAAACACATGGTCCCTTCTTGATTGGCAATTCGAACTGATCAATTAGCGTATGATTTTGGTATCCACATTTGCAGTCAAGTTATGCAGTTGTGTATCTTCATTCATGATCAGAACAAATTGAGAAACCTTTAGCAATTCAAACCTGAGATGGATGTCGTTAGCACAGTTTTTCCAATCATTCCCGAATCTTGCTATGAACTGAATATAAGTTCCCTGGCCAAAATGGTCCAAACACTGGGTTCTCCTTAAGAGCAGGTTCTCCTTAAGCACACTGATTTTTTCAAATTGGAAACTCTACTAAGATCTTGGATCCTGAAAGAACATAATTTTCACTTCCCTTGATTTTCTTTAAGACATGATCGAAGTCAACAACTCAAATATTATTTGTTCCATTAATCATACATGTTAACATCACGAACAAGGAGGAGGGGGAGGGCGTCAGGTAGTCGACAGCCGGCACTCCATGGTTACGTCGAATCCTTATGAAAATGAATCCAGAATGAAATCGTGCTAAAGCTAGGGCGTCACCCGTAAGTGGCGCGCTATGTGGCCCGAGCACAGTGATAAATGAGCAAGGGTCGCTGTATCTCCATCGGCACCCGGATGCAGTGTTAAATGAGCAAGGGGGCCATAGAAACTTCTTTTCGAACGACTCCACTCAAAGTTGTTTGGGAGCATATGCTCCTATCAACTTTACACGGGACACACAAAAGAAGTACTTTGATCCTATTAGACGGGGGAGGGTGAAGAAGCTAGGACAGAAGGGTAGAGTTCAAGAGAGCAGAATGCGTTTAGGAACGTGGAATATAGGAACCTTAACGGGAAAATCTATGGAAGTAGTGGAAGTTATGGTGAGGAGAAGGATAAATATTATGTGCCTACAAGAAACTAAGTGGGTTGGTCGTAAGGCAAAGGATCTAGAAAACTCAGGGTTTAAACTTTGGTATTCGGGCACAAATAGAATGAGAAACGGTGTTGGCATCATCGTGGACAAGACCTTGACACAAGATGTTGTAGATGTCAAGAGGGTAGGAGATAGAATCATGGCAATTAAGATTGTAATAGGACAAGAACTTATCAATGTGATTAGTGCGTATGCACCTCAAGTAGGGTTGGATACGAGTTCGAAGGAGAAATTTTGGGAAGACCTTGGAGAGTTGGTGCAAGGAATTGCTCAGACGGAGAAGTTATTTATAGGAGGAGATTTAAATGGACACGTGGGCAGGGAGACAGGCAACTATGGAGGTTTTCATGGTGGCCATGGTTTTGGGGAGAGAAACGAGGATGGGGAAGCTATCTTGGATTTTGCAATGGCATATGATCTTTTCTTAGCCAACACCTTCTTTAAGAAGAGAGAAGAACATGTGATCACCTACAAGAGTGGGTCGTAAAAAACACAAATAGATTTTCTTCTAATGAGGAAAGGGGATCGTATAACTTGTAAGGATTGCAAAGTTATACCGGGAGAGAGCTTGGCTAATCAACATCGCTTGTTGGTGATGGATGTACATATCAAAAGAGTGAGAAAAAAGAACAAGACTTGGAAGTGCCCAAGGACTAGATGGTGGAATCTAAAAGAAGAAAAACAAGCCATTTTCAAAGAGAAAGTAATCACCCAGTGTGTGGGATAAAGAGGGGGAAGCTAGCCAAAGGTGGGATTCCATGGCTAGTTGTATCCGAAAAGTAGCAAAAGAGGTATTAGGAGAGTCCAAGGGCTTTGCTCCACACCAAAAGGAATCTTGGTGGTGGAATGAGGAGGTACAAACAAAGGTGAAGGCTAAGAAGGAATGTTGTAAAGCCTTATACAAGGATAGGACCGATGAAAATGGTGAAAAGTACAAAAAAGCGAAGCAAGAGGCGAAGAAAGCTGTGAGAGAAGCTAAGTTAGCGGCTTATGACGATATGTATAAGTGACTAGATACCAAAGAAGCAGAGTTGGATATCTATAAACTAGCTAGAGCAAGAGAAAAGAAGACAAGGGACCTAAACCAAGTGAGGTGCATCAAGGATGAGGATGGAAAGGTTCTTGCTACAGAGAACGCGGTCAAAGACAGATGGAGAG